GGACTACAGGTGCATGCCACCACCCCCAGCTAATTTTCATATATTTTTTTTATAGAAACAGGGGTTTCACCATGTTGACCAGGCTGGTCTCAAACTCCTGAGCTCAAGCAGTCAGCCCATTTTGGCCTCCCAAAGTGCTGGGATTACAGGCGTGAGCCACTGCACTTGGCCTGAGCTGACTTTTAAATCAGCTATTAACAACTGTATAATTTATATAATACATACAAAAATCATATAAATTACATACTGTGTAGAGTCTCCAGAGTTACAATTGTTAATGCTAATATTTTTATATGACTGGAATGTGGGTGGAACTTTATGGGTACATGTATATGTACACCACAGACACTGGAATATATGCATCCTCTGATGTATTTTTCTTTAACATGTTCATTTTTACTTAGCACTTTCTCATGTCTGTACATAGTTTCTTATTCCTTACCTTATTCTTTCTATTATTTTGTGGTATGTACCTTCATTTATTTAACCTTCTCCCTCTTTATTTTACTATATTTCATTATTTTGTAGGCATAATCTCATATAATGTTGCTTTGTACATGAAAGATAGGCTGTGGACTTGTATAAGAAAAATATCTAAAGTTAGATGAAGTTAAGTGAGACTGCCTGCCTTTTATATTTTAATAGTACTGTTAAATTACTGTTAAAGTGAGATTTTACCATTTGATTGACAGTATATTGTGAGGTGAAACTCTTGGACAAGGAGGGCATGTGTTGAATCCCAATTCTGCTTCTTACCATGAAATAACCTGGTGTAAGTGAATTAAAAGTGAATTAATGTATTGGTGTCTCAGTTCTCTCAAGTACAAAAAAACTTAAAAAAAAAACAACAAAAATCTACCTAACTGGATAATTGTGAAATTAAATGTCTTAACATAAGTCAAGTTCTTAGAAAAGTGCTTTGCCTATTTTGATTACAAAATGCTTTCCAGCATTATGTATTGGCTGTTCTTATTAATGCCAGCATCTTGTAAGAATTCCCAAGATTTAAAACTTTAGGGTCTTGACTGATTGCTGCTTTTGATATTATCCTGCAAGGAATACTGATTATCCCTATTGTCTGTTTACATATGGACAGAGGTTAGTATTCATATGTAGGCAAAAATATACATTAAGTACCGTAATTTTCATAATACTGTATTAATCCTGCATCTGCAATTATTGTTTTCAGAGTTGTTATATATCTATTTATACTACTAGTAAAATATAAATAAACCCTAAATTGTTAGAGTATATAATCTTGATTTAATCATGTTAGATCTTGGGAAGATTGTCTAATTCAATTATTTCATCTAATATTCTCATTTATATTTTTATGTTATGTTTAGATTTTTATGGGAGGTTCTATAACAAAACTTATTATATGTTCCATGTTTGCTTTTACTTAACCCTCCTTGTAAATATTGTTCATTGCCCACCAGTGCCTCTGTATAAATGTCTATGTGAGACACTTCTCTTAGCTTAGAAATAGGAACGTGTTTATCTGCTTTGACAAACTCATGTTTCTTTCATTCAGCTAATGAGAGTTAACTAATGTCTGCCTCTACATTTTAACTACCATAAAATTGGGACAGTGTTTGAGATCACAGTCACAGCAATATAGGGGGCATGATTTCTCTTTTTGAACCATTGCATTGGATTAGTCTCGTTTAAAATTGTTCAAGTTTCTTTCAAGGAGATGTGATAAGAAAAGTTACATGAGAGAAGTTATATGGGATAAGGAATGGTGACACACGAGCCTTGATGACAAGACACTGAAAGAATTTGCAGGTATGAGCAGGAAGTATTGTGGATAACCATGGATAACCATGGGAATAATCACAGAGAACAGGAAAGCAATTGTCCAAAGGCCTGGGTTGAAATCTTCGTTCTCCCACTTTGGCTGTGTAACACTGGGCAAATTAAATTAACTTCTTTGTTTCTTCATTAATTCATCTATCATCTATAAAGTGAGGGGAACAATAGGCCCTATGTGATAGGGTTGTTATAAGTATTAAATGAGCTCATATGCATGTTAGAATAATGCTTAATGCAGAGTAACTAACTGCTGTGTAGTTGCTATTATTTTTAAAATGAAGAGAAAAATTTTAATTATAGACTATTGAGCTTTATCTCAACCTTCAATAAAATACTAGAGTGCATTATGATACAGATGACTGTGAGCATTTAGAAGTGGATGATCAGATCCCTGGAAGGCATTATGGATTTTCTAAGTTAATTCATGTCAAACTAAATTAATTTATTTTTTATAGGATTATTAGACTTATATACATCAGGAAGATGCACATGTTAGAGCTAAATTTCAGACAGTCATTGACATAAGTCTATTGTAAAACTCGTTTAGAAGTGATGGACAATTATAAACTAGATGATAATATAATCAAATGAATTTGCAGCGAATTGAACATGTATAGATAAAGTATATTGATTGAGTAATCAGTATCTGTCTGAAAGGAGATCCCATTGGCAGCCATGACAGTTTGTTCTACATTGATTTGTTTAGCTCTGTCATGAATAACTTGGAGGAATAAATCAAAACCATGTTTGTCAAATTGGTGGCCAACAAAGTAAGGGAAACTGAGCAACTGGAAAACAAATGGGGATCGCAAAAGAACTTTGTAAGCTTGAGAAAATAATGGTAACTGAAAAGATAAAATTTACCTGAGATCAGTGTCCTTTTTTGAAGTTTTTTTCGGGACATGTAGAAATCCAGCAGAGGAGATTTCTGGGATGAGTTTATTTGTTACTCTGGATTATCAGGTCTTTGGCACTAATAAGATGTAAGCCTAAATACCTGGATTTAAACAAACACTAATGCATTAAAACTAGTGCATTAAAACAGTGGAATGCTTATGACTGGCAAGTTTGGAAAACACACCACAGAACTGTGGATGCAATTTCAGAAGCAAATATTGAAAGATCTGGAACTTTCGGTTGAGTGACATTATGAGGTGGCTGCTGAAAAAGAGCATGTGTTGTATTAGGTTAATGTAATTATTGGAGATAGAAAAAAATGACTTCCCCATACTGTATTTTGATCGAGTTACAGTTAAAATATTTATCAATGGTTTTTAGCTCATTTATTTTAATGAGTGTAATTCTTAAAGATGTGTTTTAAAAGTGACACTGGAAAACTCAAGAATGTTCAGAGAAGGATTATTTGGGTGGTTGTGTTTGCAAACTATTTTATATGAAGAATGATGAAGAAACTGAGGATCTATTAATCTGGAAACAAAGGGAGACTTGACCTGAATAGTGTTTAAAATATGTGGCAACGTATCTTGTGTATAACTTATTGAATCCCCATATATAACACAATTGCCTTTTGAGCTTACATGATAAAACAGTGTTTGTAATTTAACATTAAATAACTATTGTATTCAAAGGTAAAAACTAGGATTATTCGATAGAAATGAAAGGAAAGCGTTATTTTTACTTCAAGTACAGTGAAGGCTTTTAAATAATTACTAGGGTCTTAAGAAAATAGACTGCCTGCAAATTTCTATAGTAGAAAGATTTCCCTGATATTCATTAAAGGGAAGTTTTACTTTGTAAAACAAGTTTTACATATCATTGTTTAAACAATAATTCTTCTTTTAATTTTTTTTTTCAGGAACATTTTGTAACTTCTGAGTGTCTCTCACTTTGTTTTCTTTCTGTGTGAAAAATGAATGCCAAGTGTTTTTAAACCATTAGAAACTTACTGAGATCCAAAAAAAAGTTGCCAAAATTCCACAGGAAATTAGAATTCACTTCTCAATGGTAAAGAATTTCATCTGCAAATTCAGGGAATGACCACTTTGTTTGAAACTCCAAAAATCATTTCTTTCAGCTGTGCTCAGGTTTTATGATCCTGGGCAACTAAAATAAATTCCTTCTGATGAATATTCTATGATACCATATATCATAGTTGCTTGAAAGTTTCAATATATGTTGTTGGAAGTAAGTTGTTACTGTTGATATTCTATATTTTTGATTTGTAACAAATATAATGAGATAATTGGTCATTTAGGATGCTCTTCCTAGGCATCTGAACCGTATGTGAAGGTATGTCATGAGGAAATGAGGCACAGTATGATGCAGGCTTACCTGTGCATCACTGGTGAAATACGTTTGGAAGTGGTCAGGCAGTGAGGGATGAGAATATGTGGCTAACCTGATTTGTAGTAGCTCGTGAAGTTTATTTAGGAAATCTCAGAGAGACTACATTTAATTCCTGTGATTTTCTGGTAGCGCTCTTCTTTGTATTGAAAAAAATCTGTTTTTCTAGGCTGCGCTCAAACGGGGCTGACCTTTGTTTTCAGCCAGTAATATCAGCTACTGTTTATTAACACTCATTGCTGTAGGCAGTCATTTGGCTCATTGGAATAATAAGTGCTTTAAGTTCATTATCTTATTTAGTCCTTACAATATTTTTATGAGTGAGGAAGAGAAGAAATTATGACTCAGAAATTTCCGATGTCTTATCTAACATTAGACAGCTAGTGAGCAGGGGTTCCTGGTTCATCTGATTCCAGAGCTCACAACCTTCATTATTATTCTATAAAAAGTTCCAAATATAGAATGACTCAAAACGTCTCCCCAAATTAATTTGGTCTTTGTTTATTGGAGCCTATTTAGTAGTGCTACAATCTGGAGATACAGATGTGAATGAGGACCGAAGCCCAGGATTACATGAGGCTTACAGTGAGCAGAAAGATTATCATTAAACAGTTAACACTAATTAATGACAATTTTGACAGGTTCTATGCCAAAGGAATGTATAATTTAAACCATTATCTGAGAATTTAAGTAAATACCTGATTGTTCATATATATATATATATATATATATATATATATATATATATATATTTGTTTGTATGTTTGTTTTGAGACAGGGTATTGCACTGTCATCCAGGCTGGAGGGCAGCGTTGCAGTCACTGCTCACTGCAACCTCAATTTCCTAGGCTTAAGCAATCCTGCCTACTAAGTAGCTGAAACTATAGGCACACACCACAATGCCTTGCTTATTTTTTTTTTCTTATTTTCTTATTTTCTATATTTTATAGACAGGGTCTCGATGTGTTGCCCAAGTTGGTTGGTCTCATACTCCTGGGCTCCAATGATCTGTATACCTCAGCCTTCCAAATTGTTGAGGTTACAGTCATGAGCCACCACGTCTGGGCTGATAGTTCTTAAGTGTGAAATTGCTGAACTGGGGTGAGAGAGATAATACCTTGACTTATGGGAATGTAACTAATGCCTGATGATCTGAGGTGGAACAGTCTTATACAGAAACCATTCTCCATCACCATTCTGTGGAAAAATGGTCTTCCATGACACAGGTTTCTGGTACCAAAAAGGTGGGGGACCACTGTATAATAGTATATAATTTTACCATAAAGTACATTTAAATAGAATAGAAAATTGTTAGCATCATCTTTAACCCTTCAACCAGCAGCCATATATGCTGGGAGTGAAGTACAAACTAATTGAGCTGTAAACACTGGACATTTGCTGAGGTGCTGTCACTTTTTATGTAATTCATTTTCTCATCTGAAGGCAATCAGCAATCCAAGTTCATGTTTCATCAAAATGACATGGACCTTTGAGGTTTTTCAAGAATAGTAGAAATAGGGAATGTTAAATATATTAATTCTAGAGTCTTTTATAATAACGGAAAGTCCCAGACAGGACTTAGCACACAGGAGTTGTCTAATAAATATTAGCTGCTCTTATTATATTTAAACATTGTCATCAACATCATCATGCGCACAAGTCCTGTTCATCTACTCACCAGCTTTATGGCCTCAGGCCAATATAACTTTGTACATTTCAGAGAATGTTAATAATCTTCTGTATGCATCTCACTAAGCTGTTTTGAGGATCAAATAAAATAATATATATCGTGTGAAGGAGGGAAAATAAAATATGTTGTATAAAAGTCATCTGTAATTGTAAAGAGATATATAGTGGTTTCTTGTTGTTATAACCCCAAAATCGTTTACCTCTGTGATGAGGCTCTAAACATCTGAACACTTTAATGAACTGCCAGTATTGATTAAGGGAAGATGACACATTAATGTTAGAAGAAGGGAGAAAGCCTGGTCACTAATACCCACTTAGAATTCCACAAATGTAAACATCTATCATTGAAATGACACTTAAATTGTAGGGATTATTTTTTATTTTGCCATCAAATAAGTAAGCGCTCTCAGAAAGTTTTATTTAGGGCCAGAAGGGCCAAAATTTTAATCTTTAAATGAACAGTGGTCTAATGTGTTTATCCTAGAGATACTTAGAATGAGTTTTCTGTTAAAGAGGCACCAAGAAATTCTTGAGTAAGCCTTAAAATGCTTGAGCCAGTGTTCCTGGAATCAGAAAGGTACTTAAGGACCAAACGTAGGACAGAAAAATCCATTCTTAATTTGTCCCTAAATGATTTGGCAAATCATCTCGCTCTTTCCTTTAACTGTATTGCAGGTGTTACAGGTCCTTTTTGGTAATTTTTTTCCCCCATACTAGGACATGTAGAAGTCTAGGGGAGGAAATTTCTGGAATGAAACGATGTTGCCTCTAAATTATATGAAGGTATAGTCTTTGAGATTGGCTCCGATAGAGTTAGTTCGATAAGAAGGCGGAACGTAATGGTATATTTGCCAGCTATGTACATCTGTTTACCTCCTGTGAAAAACAGATCCACCGCTAGGAAGGCAGCTAGTTGTGTGTATGCTTTGTGTCCCTGTCATGGAGAGTCCCATTTGTGGAGAGCACTGTTGAATTTGAAACCTTTTGTGAAGTGTAGAAATGCAGAATAAAGGAAGGAGCTGGGAATTGAAAAGACTTCAGTGTATGAGAGATGCAAGACATCTCAGAGATTGAGTGAAGTAAAATCACAAATAGAACTTTAACACAAGAGAACAGTTTGTTTTACAAACAAAGAAAGGACAGTTTATGTAAAGATTTAGCACTGTGACAGACTCTGATTTGTGAAGAGACAGTGATGTGTGGCCAGTGGTTTGTAATTACAATCTTGGCAGTGCTAGTTCCAGTAATTCTAGCTACAGATATTCTTAGTGAAACTCAGCAGTTTTAGAGGAAAGGAATTGTAAAGTGCTCAGATTTTCAGCAAAATTTTCTTGAAATGGACTAAGAAAGATTAGTTGTGAGCCAATATGAATAATGCAAGAAAGATAAATAAAGCATACAGCTATTATAAAGGAGAAGCAGTTTACAATATTTGTAGAAAACATGATTGTATACTCTGTGCTATTAAAGCTTAACTCAACTATATAGATAATTATTCTGATTCAGTGGCATTTAGAAATAGAATATGGGAATATTATATGAGAAAAGTATATTCCAAGTTGCAACTGAAAATATAAAATAATAGCTTATTACAGGTTACAAAATAAGTCTTAAGTGGAATGATGTATAAAATTCCTTCAGAATTTAATTAGATGTTTCATTGAATTCCAGTCTCAATTTTATCTGGAAAAAATAAAGGAAATAATTAGAAACTTAAGAAGGAATAATGAGAGCAATGTCCTGTTCAGAAAGTGAAGTACATTATAATATTATAACAATTAAAACAGTGTAATGCCAGCTCAGCAACTGATAGAAATATCAGGGGGACCTAGTGGGACCCCTGAACAAGCTCCAAGGACGGTGTGTTACGCAGTTTCTTCTGGAGACTCTTCAAATTCCCAGAAGTGCTGTTAGCCATTAGAGGGAGTAAGTATGGGGGTCCAAGCTCTCTCATCTCCAGCTGAACATGAACAGCACTCTGCATTTGTGTGTTTTATATATTGGGTTCCCACATTTATATTTAAGTTTCACATTTTGAAAAGTTTTCATTGCCCTACTATTGACATATGGTAGAGGATGCCTCACTAGCCATGTGTGGCATATGAAACAAATTATGTTGGGGAAATGAGGCTTACTATTGGGAGGAGGGGGCAGATGTTAGTATTTCACCTTGGCACAAAAATATAAATTCCAGATGAATTAAAAAATAGTACTTGAAAGAAACACTTGTAGGTATTTGCATGCTCTCTGGATAAAAGGAATTTCTAAACATTAAAGTAGTAGAAGTTAATGGAAAAGCCTGATGGATAGTTGCTTGTGTAACAATTAAAAAAAAAATCTCCAGCCAAAACATCTCAAACATAAGCAACAACAAGACCAGGCAATGCCTTGTGGTCAAGAGATTGTTGGGACAATGGGCAATTAGTGTAAAGTTTGGGTCTGGTAGCTTAAGATGCCATTGTGCTTTGCCTGTGGCTTGTCCCATTTAGTGTATTTGAGTATGGCTGTCTGTGAGTCTGATTCATGTCTCTGCCATGTGTCACATTATTTTGATGGCATCAATGTTTTGTTCTGTGAAGATAATTTCTCATTATCTTTTGTTCTATTAATGTTTACACAGCTCAATCAGTAAAGCTTGTTTACGCCCAGAAACCTCTCCTTCTCTGTCTCTGTTCTCCGTCTTGCAGGAATTGAGGGTGGCTTCTGGTGTTTTGTGTGCCTTCCTCATTTCCTTCCAGCCTCTCATCCACTTCATGATGTAATTCTTGGCACTTTTACTTCCTTTGTAGAGTAGGATGTGATGTCATAGAGAAGGGGACAGGGCTATCCAAATTCTCTCAATTGCTGGGAGGAGCTGCCCAGGTGTGCTGAGGGGCCTGTACTCAGGAAGAGAAACAGGGAATCCTCCACAGTGAGTAACCCCAATTTCAAGTGTACCCAAATTTCCATTTAAACATTGTCCAGTACACTGGAGTTTCTTCTTTGGCCCTTTCTAGATTTAATCAGTTTGCCTTTAGACATTCCCAGTTCAGCTCAATTTTCCTCCTTTCTCTCCCTCCTCCTTGTTTCTCCTCTTTCACCATCCTATGCCTTTCCCCTCCAGTTTCCCCTCTTCCTTGCTTGCTTCCTGTGTGTCTGTGTCTATTGACCTCCTGTCCATATCTTTTATGAGAGATCCATTGCCTTTCATTTGAGGCAGTGCCCGCCCTATATATAGTCCATGTGAACAGAGCATCTCCTTTCAGTAATTCATAATTATGTACTGTTCTACTTACAGTTCTTATTTTAAAACTTCTGTCAGCTTTTTGTTTTCATATTAGCTTCTTCCTCTTTTCCCTGTGCTCTCTACTCTTTTCCCCTTTTCAGCTCTATTATGCAGTTTCCTTATTGCCTTTTCCCCAATATGTTTATACTCCTCTTCCCTATACAACTTTGCCTATAATTGTATTTCCCCCTTTTCCAGTGTTCAGTTTGGCTCTACAGCGTCCTCTGGAAGGACCATTTTCCTTTTTTGCCATTACCATACTTGTTGCCATACCCTTGTTGTTGTGTGGCTCATACTTCTGTATTCTTTAAAGAATTTACAACTATGAGTAAGGAAGGGCTGATAAGGGTAGGGAAAAATGGGAAATTTCCTGGGAATTGGAAAAGAGAGAATAGGAAAGTGTCTGAAAGGTTAGGAGGGGCAGGCTGTGTGCTATGCACACTGAAAGGCCTTGAACAGAGCCTTTACTTGTGATCAGTTGAAATTTGGTTATTGACAGTATAAGAGATCACAGAGCCAGTTTGAACAGATTTGGAAGCCTTGTCAAGTTTTACATTTTTAGAATGACTCTGTTAATTCTTAATAATTATGATTCTTCTAGTAAATAATCACAGATCAGAACTCTAGTGTCTCTAAGTTACAAGAGGCCATGACCTGGGCATGAAGCTCCTGCATAGCATCTTTAATTAGGTGTCCTCAACCCTTGGAGTAGGTCATTGTGAAGATGCGTGTAACTTGTTTCTTGTACCCAGATGTGGTATCTGTAGTTCATGTAGGTGCACAGTAGGGGCACTGCTGCTTATTGTTTCTACCACATGAACTACAGTTAAGTCCCTGGAAAAAATAAAGGAACCTGATTTCCAGGGCTGATGGTCTAAGACCTGGAGAAACAATGAAGTATGTCCTGTGTCTTCCCTACCCTCTGTTTAAAAGAACCCTTTTCACAGAAGATAAGTAGGGCAAAAGAGGAGAGAAAGAGATTGGGGCTGAGTTCATACAGTTGAGACAGGCTGAATGGGAAGAGGAAAGGGCTTATTTGAAATTAATTGGAAAAGGCAAAGGAAAGGAAACTGAGCTGAACTGGAAAACACACTGTAATGAGTTACTTGTGTTCCTGTATGCTTCTTTCAACATTTTGGCCATAAATCCAGTGAGGCTGTTTGTGACCATCACTATGTTCTCTTCTATTGGTAGTATTCAAGCTCCATGATTCCAAGGACCTGGAATCTTAGGAAATATTTTAACAGCCTGAAAACATGACTGTTACCATAAAATATTAGAAACTTTTTAAATAAAGGAAACTATATGCATTTGTTAACTTGGTTTCTTTAGGTTTCACATTTGTTTTTTGGTGTGTATGCCTTTGTGACATTTTTGAAGGATGGTCCCTTTATGTTGCAGAAATTTCTGATTTAAATGTCCAAAAAAATTACATTCTCCCTTTGGGCACCTGACCTGTGTGATGGAATGTTACTTTGATGTAAAAGCCCCTTCCTCTGTAATAAAATAAGCAAAGAATGCATGATTCAGGTACATTTTTGTTTTGTATGCTGCCATGCAATAATCTAGGAATATTATGTTTATATTTTAGGCACTAGAAAAACACCCCAACTCACCAATGACAGCAAAGCAGATATTGGAAGTCATTCAGAAAGAAGGGTTAAAAGAAACAAGGTCAGTATCCATATTTAAAACATTTTCTGTTTTCATTTAATATTTGCCACTCACTGCTAAGCCATAGGTGTATCTAGATTTTGATAATGTAGTTGATTGTCAATTAAGTACCCACAAATTCATTTTTAATTGATAAACAGATGGATGATTTAAGATTTCCTTGGACCTGCCTGTTACCTTAATAAATTGTGTTAGATGGATTGATACAGGAGGTGCTTTCTTAACAAAGAGCGGCACTGTGTGACTTGGTCCCTCATTGAAGTGACTCCTGTCTCTCTTTCTTGTAAGAGGAGATTGTGTTTTTGAAAACAAGTGGTGAGAGAGAAACACTTTTACAGGCTTAATAGGTAGATTCTAGGGTATAAAGATGAGCTCACTTTGATAAAATTTAGTGCCCATAAATGTGGTTGAAAGTCTAATCCTCTTATATTTAAGAACTCTATTTGGAGCATCCTGTAACAATTGTTCAGCCTAATATTTATCCTTTTAAAATGTACAGTTTAGTGGTTTATGTTATATTCCCAAAGTTATGCATCATCACCATATCAAACTTTAGAATGTTTTCATCACCCTAAAACGAAACCGCGTACCTATAAGCAGTTACTCCCTATCCTAACTACTCTTGCCTCTGACAACTTCTAGTCTACTTTCTGTCTCCATGGACTTGCTGTTCTAGACATTTAATGTAAGTGGGATCATATAATATGTGGCCTTTTGTGAACGGCTTCTTTGACTTAACATAATGTTTTCAGTGTTTACTCTTGTAGCATATATCAGGACTTCATTGCTTTTGGTTGCCAAGCAATATTTCAGTGATGATTCTTTATTCTTATTTAGGTATTCATTTTATAATTTTGGCTTTAGATAGCACATTAGGGTCATATAGATGATATTACTTAAGGAGAAAGGGTTTACTGTAGGATAAAACAGCTATGATATTGTCATGTAATCAGTCATGTGTATGTAATCAGCCATGTTACATAGAATGGATTCATATACATGAGTTGTCCATCTGTAAGCCATTTAGCATACAGTAGTTGCAACTTAATGAAATTAAACCTGCTTAACTACCTTTTGGATGTTTTCATTGATGTGGATATAGAAACTGATAAGAGAAATAAATATCCTTCTGAGGCTGACTTTTCCTAAAAATAGGTTTCATCTATAACTCCTATAATTTTAATGTGTGGGTAACATCAGCCCCTAGCTATTTAAAATGTATCTTTTGCAAGGTAGGTCTGTGGGCATCATCATTTACTGGGTACAGGGTATCTATGCTCAAATTTTTATTTTTATTTTGGAGACTTTTTTCCTGCCTACTCTGTAGAAATAGCCTAAGATAATGTAACTACATTGTGTTTGCACTGATCGTTCCCCCATGAAGAGGAGGGAGCAGTGGGCAGATGAGTTGCTGACAGTGCTTAACTACTCTGTTAAAGGAGATCCTGTTTTAAGCCAAATGTCAGCATAAGGAGTTAGGGAACAAAATCAGAAATACGGGAGATTAACTTTCTTCTTGCACCTGTCAATAACCCTGAAAATATTTATGACATTTAGAAACCTCTGAAAATAATTGTGCCACAGCCAGAAGAAAAGAGGGGCTAAAAATCTAAGGGTGTCCAATGTCTTATGTGGGCTTTCTTGCCAGAAGAATCTGCCAACATGAACATAAAAAGCACCTCTTAAAAGTAGACATTTGAAATTCGTTCATTAAGATATTCTCACAGGAGTGACTCTGCTGTTATCAGTTGTTATGAAGCTGAGATATAAATTCCTGTATCGTGGCTCACATTTTAACTATGCTTGTTATCATTACAGCATTATTCCAAAGTTTTCAAAATGCTGGTCCTTCCAGAATGATATATAAAAGGGCAATCAGCATTCATATTTAACAAATACAAACAAATTTTTAAAACCAACTTCTTCAAGAGGAAAGAACATTGAAATGGGAAACGTAACTCCATATTCCTCTAAATGCAATCCCTCTCTTCACTTCACCTACACTGCACCACTATTGTGTCCTATAGGAAAAAAAAATGTCATTTGTTACAAATACTGATTAACCAGTATAGTATTAGTGAAAGTAACTGCATGCAGTTATCAGTTTCAATAGGAAAGAGAAAGGCAAGCAAAGAGAACACAGTTAAAGTTTTCTTCTGTGAAACTGCTCTGCATCGAGTGGCCTCAGACGATTTTGTGCTCCTATTAGTTTTTTTTCATTCTATTTCTTTAAATTTCCCCCTTTTTGTCAATAGTAATCCATTACTTATGGCTCACGCATCTCTGCTCAACTGTTTTCTTGTTTTCTAGTTCTAATTTTCTTATTAGATTTACCTTGAAAATAAACATATATAGCTTCTGAGTGAGTTTGGGTCTGTCCTGTATGTATGTATGTTGTTTCAAGGAGCAGATACTGACATTTATTTTGCCTACTTTATGTACTGTTTTGCTACTTTCCAAGTTCTTAAATGTTTTCCTAGTATTTAAGGTAGTTGAGTAAATGAAGTGTAACTGTTATGTATTTTTCTTAAGTAAAGTTTAGAAATTCCACCTTCATGAGGTCAAACATAGCTGATTGATTTCTAGGTATTTACTAATGATGTGTTTCAAGAAATGTACATTGATAATATGCCCGATTAAATACAGGGAAGTTACTTGTGAAGTTACTAATATGGCCATAACCCTCTGGTGGTCTTTTCTATGGATGAGAGGTAACGTTTTAATGGTCCTTCCCCAAACAGTCCACCACTATACCTAGAGTTTCTAGACAAGAGAAGATATGATCTTCAGCCATCATCATTCCAACCTGTACTCAAAGCAAGGCCATTTGTTTCATGTACTGTGGGGTCCATCTATGTGCCAGGCAGGTCTCAGATAGCCTTACCTCACTGTACTGTAATTTTGTCTATGTATGTATTCCCTGCCTGTGTATAAATTCCTTAAGGGCAGGGTACCTAACGCTTCTGGCTATCAGCAGATACTCAATAAATAGTTGTTTAGACAATAATCTTCATTCTCAATAAATATTAATTTCATTGAGAATTTCATTGTTAATTTGCTGGTGCTTAGTAATGATTTTGGCTTGCATTCAGAGTTAGAAGGTTCTTTTTAACATTACATGTTGTAATTTTTATGACATATAATAGTAGTTCTTTCTTACATCTAAAGAAACTTAACAGTTTTGTGGAAATCCCATTAAATATATGTATGCTAATAGTTTCGAGCAGATTATCTGTGAACAAGTAAAGTTATGGTGCTGTTGCTTGTATTCAAACACTGTGAAAGCCACTGGTTTAGACTTGTAACTTACAATAGAAAAAGTACATTAATAATTTTGGCAAAACTAGTGAGACTATTTGTATGCAGTATATATGTTGTCATTTGACTGAGCTGAAATTTCACATTGTTTGCTGTATTTTCCTCTTTACAAGTGACACTTTAAATCATATAATTTTCATGTAGACATGATAAAAATAGGCCAACTTTTTTACATCACGTTCTGTGTATCATCTTCATATTGTTGGTGAAATGTGTAGCGTATGATTAAATTCTACTAGGAAAAGCCAGAATGAAATAGGCACTTTCCATGTGGTATAAAAAAGAAATATGAATATAATAAATTGGCAGAAGATGTGTGGTTTTGTTGAAAAAAATAATATGATCATAGCATGATTTTTTAAGACCTGGTTTTCTTTTTTTATGAAAATGCTCTTGGTAATTTTTGCTTTCCTTTTGTATAATAGGATAGAAGATTTTATTAATGTCATTTTATTCTGGTCCATCTGTACACTTGCTTCACTAATTCTGTGTATTTTTAGGGCTTCTGTTCTTTTACATTTGTTGGTTGTCAATAGTTGATCAGTCAGAGTGTTTTGGAAGGGTTTTCAGATTATTGGAATCATATAATCAATCAAATAGCCATGCTGTTCCTATAGATGGGATTAAAATGTGAATATTCCAGTCTACTGCTTTTGTGGATGGATATTTGATACTCCTCTTTGGACTTCTTAGATAAACATCCCCACTTCCTTCCTCAGGGAGTTAGGGTGCTGCCATAGAACATGTTCTTGTCTGCAGTAAGTGAAAATATTTATGTAGAAAAGAGGAGTAAGTCTAGTTACAGTGTTGCTTTGGTTGTTTTGGGGATCATCCCAATTCTGCTTTCTGTTTTTGATGTGCTTGTTCAGAAGTTATCATTTGTTTACATAAAGAACTATGGGGTTTTTGATGCCTGAGGATGTATTTTCTGATGCCTTGTCTTATGTAATTTTTAAAGCAATGCTTCCAAAGAATTGTGTGCTCTGTTATAGTGACATATCCAGGGCCCCCAAGGTCATGGAGTAAGGCTTCCAAGACTTACATAGTGAGAGCAAAACAACCATTCATCAGTGAGGACTCATTTTTTATGTGCTGGGCATTATCATTATAAGATACTTGTCATTAATGTAGCATGAATTGTGATTTAGTTTTTATATTATTTGGTAATAGGCAAATAGTTTATAATGGAGGTGAAGTAGTCATAAAATTTAAATATATATATATATACACACACATATATATATGCATATATATATATACCTACAAACCACACAAAGCAATTAAGAAAACCTCTGTTGGGTTGACAGCAAGACAATATTTATGAGGTACATTTTAACAATAGTAGAGATGCCATACTGTATATTAAAAAACTATATTAAATTTCATCAACTGTTTACAGAGAAGCATCCTATAATTATATATTCCAGGAGGGACACTTTAAAAAGTTTTATAAACAGTATCTATTGTATTTAGTATTCCTCAGAATATGGACATATTTTAGATTTCATGATGTGAAACATGCATTTGACATCCCAGATTTTGTCATTATTATCAATTTTGTCATTAGTATCAATGAGAATTATTTATTCCACTGATAATTCTTAAATATATGTTTACCTTGTTTTGTTTAAAGCTTTTTATGTTTTCTGTTTTGCAGTCTCTGTTATGATATGCTAAAATTA